GAGAGATGCCGCATGTTCCGCTCCACGCCAGACACGTATTCCGGAACGACGGCATAGGACTCCAGATAAAAGGAACGCATCAGGGTCGAAAATGTCACGGGCAAGCCCGGTGGGGCGACGGGGGGCTCGGGGGGGAGGGGGGGGACGGGAGGAACACAATTCCAAATGCTAACAACTCGAAAAAGAAATTGAGACAGTTTGTTCGTGTTTAATGGAGCAGACATAGGTTTCTATCCCGTCGTTGGGTGAAGTTTATTTAGGTAGACGGAACAAACAAATAATATCGAGGGGGGGCCGAGCGGGGGGCGGGGGGCGGGATGAAAATGAAACGGAACGGCATTCAAAACAATTTGACAAATTTTACGCTCCATAAAGGAAACTCATCTGGAGGCGAAGTCGAAGCCAAAATTGATTTGCTTATAATTACATGCTCCTGAAAGCGAATGTTTCTTTGTGCGACGGCGGCGCAGCGATGCGCTTCAGAATCCATGTCTTGCCTTTTCTATCCCACGTTTCCGCTCGGTCCCTCCGTCTCGACGCACAGTGAATCGGGTTAATTAAAGAGGTCGGACACGAAATTTTTGACCAAAACCGTAAATTTTTATTTTTATTTCGTCATATTTTCGACTTTAAGGGGTGCCTCTGGAGAAAAATTTCACGAAGAAACCAATGGAACTACCTTTAGAACCTCAAAGTTTTGTATAAACCGAGTTACATGCGTTTCAAGTTTTCAAATGTTGTCCGACCTCTCCTATTGACTCGATCCAGTGTGCGCCGCCGCGCCCTTTGAAACTGACGGATTCAGACCGCAAAATTTCCTCGCCAAATCCACGTTCAAATGGCCCAGTTTAATGAAGGCAAATCTCCACGTCGTTTTAACAATTGTTATTTGGATTCTACTAAACGTTAAGCGACGCCCCTGCCAATCTTAGGGACTTGAAACCGCATTGCTCCCGCAAAAAGTGCATTTCGAGTACCAATTTCCTAACCTGATGTCATTCATGGAGACCCAAGTGAAGTCATGAGTTGCATTCCATGCTATTTTAAGGCGCTGAACTACCTAATTCATTTGAGTATGAGTAGGAGCAACTGTTCTGCAACTCAAAAATCGAAATGCTAAAGAAATGGTTGGCGGTATTCTTTCTTGACGCTTTGCCCTTTGGGGGAAGATTAGAAAAATACTTGGAATTTTGCAGTTCAATTGCCGTTTACTCTGACGTGTTGCAGTTCATTGTCATTTCTTTAAAGTCGCTGTCTTTGACGTCATATGGAAGGGATTGAAATTTAATAACTGGAAATGTTAAAGCTGATCGGCAGTTTCATCGAATTCCTAATGGGCAATCGGAAATAATGGGTAGACCTTCCAATCATACCTTTTTTACCGATTCTGTGTCATCCTATTAGTTACTTCATCGTTTCTCGGACAAAGGAGCGTAACTTCATTCCAAGGTTGTAAAATTGACCACAACAATTCAATTTTTCACAGAATGTAACTACGCAATTTTTTCCGAGATTTGTCAGATTTTACGATGAGATCAGAACAGAAATCACTGAAATTTTTAGTCAGAAATGCCCAAGATTCGCCTTGTAAAAGTTGAATTTGCGATGGTAATTGACAACAGTGAAATTTAGTTACGCTGTTCCTTAGGGGACACGACGACTTTATCAATCTTCAGAAAATGATTCGAGCCCATAAATTTTCAGATCGAGTCCTAGAATGGAAAAGCAGCTACACAAGCCCAATACACACTTTTTCGCCTCTTTTATTAAAAACTTCTAAATGATCGAAAATCCTCGAGCGGCGCCCCCAGTTCGGTTGAAATCGAATTTAAACTAAGTGAAGAGAGATCAAGAATTCAAAACTTGGGGATCAGTCTCAGTGACGTCAGCCGCGAACAAAAGTAGATGGAGAGAGGAAATCGAGCCAAATACGAGGGCGGGAGATACAAACTTCGCGATCCTGTTTCAACTCATTACACGTTCTCACTCAATTTAACTCCGAGTCGAGAGTCGAGTGTCACACTTGGAACCACTTCAATAAATAAAGGAAACTTTATTATAATAGAAAAAACGCTCTTTGATAGGAAAGAACGAGCCAAAACGAGGAGGAGTAAAAAAGAGAAAGAAAAATGACTTGGAGCTCCCATACTTGCCTACCTCTTGCAAGTGCAGAAAGTGCGCTCTATTCAGCGCAACGTGTGCGTCGAGGACACACTTTTCGTGCCAAAAGCTTCCGAATGCAACGCAGCAAGATGTTCATTCAGTTTTCAAGATTGAAATATGCCGTAAGTCGTGGGTGTTTGGTGCGCTACTATTCAGAATAATGTGAGAATGTTGAGTGGAAAGAATTATATACCCATTTTGTAAAGGACTTGCGTGAGATCAGCATTTTGCTTTTTTCCCTGAATATATCTTTAGAGCTTATAAATTTTGGCTTTAAAGCGTTCTTAGCTCTGCAAGAATTATATTTATGCAATCATTCACACAGGGCTCCGGATTTTTTAATTGTTCTATAACAGAGCATGTCCTCATCAACTCGGTATTCAATCAGTTTTTTATTTTTGGTTTTTACCAGTCGTAGGACACACGTCATTGTCTTTCAATATTTGATGTACTAAAGGTATTTTTCTTTTTTTCAATTCCTCGAAACGATCCCATATTTTCCTTTGAATTAAAATGTGACTGGGACCTCCGAATAAAAATTGTAGAATGTATTTATGTAAACTTTTGAAGAGAATAAGTGTCACTCAAAAAGAACTTCTACATTTGCAATCTTTGTCCCTATATCTATCGGCGCATCAAGAAGTCAAACTGACCTTAATTTATTCATCAACGCCCATATCTTTCTGTAATTTACATTATTTCCCAATTCCTCTCTGTGTAGAAACGACAAAACGAGACGCCTGAATAATCAAAAATTAAATCGTCTGGTACGCACTTTATTTAATACTCCCTCTTCTCATGTTTGAATCTCCACTTTTTCCCAGCTTACTCTTTGTAAATCCTCCCTTTCCATTTTTGACGCAAGTTTCAAACTTTCATTGCGCCGGTTGAATTATTTTAGCCTCCGATTCGAACAAGACCGAAATTTATCCGGAGTATCATTCCCCCCGGAATAATTCAAACTTCCGATAGAAGGGAAAGTAACAGGCGTAAAAATAAGCGTCGGGAGCCTGGATGTTGACTGTGAAGAAAGAGGAGAGGAGGAAATCAATCAAGGGCGAAAGAAGGAGGGAGGAGGGATAAACGGGTGGAAGGCTGTATAAATATCACTTAAACAGAGGGATGATCACCGCTCATTGAAAGGCGCGTACCTAATTTCTTAACGACTAATCTGGCGTGTAGCCTGGCCTGGATTTCGTCCTTCGCGCCAAGACATCTTTATAATCACAGCCTGGAAGTCAAATCTGCCGGAAAGCGTTTTTCTCGGCCGGCGCGGAGGGATGTGCGAGCGGCAAACTCGGCAGCGGTCTGGTCCCGATTCGTCTCGCTTTTCGAAGAGACTCAGCTTTCGACTTGACTTGATTTTCCAGCAAATTAAACCTTAAGTAATATGAATAAAATAGATAGCGAGCCATCTTTCTTTTCGCCTCTAATGCTCCCGGTATTCATCTTTTGTTTTTTCTGCCACCGCCCCCAATTCCGACCCCGGCTCCGGCACCTTTTCTTGTACTATCGACTTAATTCCCTCCGTCGAATTTGCGTGACTTCCCTCGTACAGTAATGCCGGCGAATTATTCCTTTTGAATAGGTTCGTCGTCTTGCCAGAGCAGTGATCGCTCCGCTCCGGACCCCTTGTATTTAAATCGTCATTGAAAGGCTTGCATTTTACCTCGCTTAACTTGAACCCTCACAAGTCCTAATTTTTGCTCTGGGACATTTCCGTTTTCCATGGGTGAAGGCAGATAAGGACGAAGTAAAGAGAGAGGAGGGAAACCAGCAAATAATCCTTGGGTATCTAGTTAATGCAAGAGTCTTTGATCAACCCATGGAAGAATTTAAAAAATTTACTTCCCCCTCCCCCCTCCCCAAAAAAAAATCGGTAATTCCTATCAATACAAGCACCAAAGAAATTTCTTTCCTCTTAAATATGAGGAGAAAAACAACTTTGAGACCAAGTGGAGCTGTAGGGCGCGGGCTTCTTCTAGTTTTGCGAATGGAAATGTCTATTACCACTAAGGGAGAACATGATGGACTTACTGAAGGTTTCTCGTGAGTTAATCGATACCTACCTCCTTTGTCCATTACAACCACCAGCTTCCACCAACAGGATCTCTCCGTATCCCTTTTGCTTTGTCTATCAATGTCAACAATTAGCCTGCAGGCAAGACATGTTTGAGGTCTTTACGGTGCTTCTGAATATCCTTGAAAATCTTCAAGATTACGAATTTTGAAGGAAAAGTGTTACAAAATACATTTTACATTTGAGGAAACAGTTGATTTTGATTCAACGCGATTTGTGTTGCCTTCAAAATTACTTTTCTTGGTTTCAAGAAAATGTACCATGTTAAAGAATACTTAATGAATTAAAATAAAATTCGTTTAAATTTAGGGGGGGGGGGAACTTTCACAAATAAAATGTTTTCTTGAAAAATGAAAGAAAAATTTTTCCAGTGAATAAAAGCCATCAGGAAAGACTTGAAACTTCCTTGATTTTTGTATTGGAAAACCGTCATGTGGATTGCATTTTGCAAAAAGGAACCACTAGCATTACAATGATGCTAAGATTGTGCAACTTCATCCTTTACAATAAAATTACGGAAGTCATGAAAAACTATGAAATTTAGATGGTCATTTTGGTCTTAAATGTACAGTTTTTAGCGAGTAAAATAGAAACTATCAATGGATAATTGGGGTTTTCCTCCAAGACAAGAGAAGCTGCACAATCATAGCAACATTGCAATGTCAGTGGTTCCTTTTTGCAAAATGCAATCCATGTGTCCTAACCTGATTTTAATTTTGACCTGAACTGATTCCGTTTTTTGTTTTGATTGTTATAGGTTACGATCCGAACCCGAGCGGGTTCCCGCGGTACACGGTGGTGGGCGACGCCAAGAACGGCGTCTTCAACCTGCGGATCAGTAACGCCTCTTTGGACGATGACGCCCAGTTCCAGTGCCAAGTGAGCCCCTTCAAAGCCCACAAAGCCATCAGAGCCATCGCCAACCTCACCGTGATCGGTAAGCTCGTCTTCTTTCTTCTCGCTATCTTCACCCTTCACTCGGTTGTAAAGAACCGCGCATTGCTACTTCCTTGAAACCATCCCTAAAGGCATGAGGCACCACATTCATCGTCTCTACATGTAGACAACGTTTCTTAACGAAGAACTACAATATCTGGCCAATCCATAAAAATGCCTATCTGCATGGGGAAGATGACACTAGAGTACCTGTATAGCGAGAGTATAGACAGATATGAAACTCCGAAAATCCATCAGGCCTTCACCGATGCCTCCGCGAACAAAGTTAGGGCCCAGAAATGCAGCCAACCTATGAATTTCAATCATCCAGAGCGATTTATTAATACAATTGTTCCGAACCATCGCTTATAAAGCACGTATTTGACTTAGTTTTTTTCATAAATTTACTCATTTTTGTGAAAGAACGCTCATTTATGTACTTTCTTAGCCATCTTCGTTAGAATTGGAATCTTCAGACTGGCAGTGAACTTTTGTGCGTTAGAAGTTGGTTAGAAGGGTGGCTGCACTTTTGGGCCCTAAGCCCTCCATGAAGCGATCTGTCCATACTCTCGCTATACAGGTACTCTAGATGACACAGGTGTCGTTTCTTAAATTGGCTAGAAATAGAAGTTCCTTATCGCAAAATGTAGTTCAATTGGCAAGACGTTTTTAAAGTAGTAGACGTTAAGTATCCTCTATTTTCTCTCATATTGTGTACTAACATTTCAGTCACAAGGTGGGAAACTGGTGCTGGGTCTACGCCATTTCGCGGGGAAAACAAAACCAAGTTCCAAAAATTATAATTAGAGTCAAATATATATTTTTTAACTCTAATGAGTACCAGTTATGAGTTAGAGTTGAAACATTTATTTTTGACTCCAATTATAATATTTGGAACTTCTTAGCTTTCTTTTCCCCGCGAAATGATGTGGACCCAGTACCATTCCTTCACCTCGTTACACACAGTGCGGGCACATTCTTAGTGTTTTTCTTTCTTATTTCAGTCTTTATTACTAGTTTTTCGTAGAAATGAATTAATAACTTGAACTCTTGGAACTCTCTTGGATCTGAAGTCCTGACCCATAAAAAATGTGGCAAGAGGAAGTACTCTTGATTCAATCGGATTTCTGCTTGAACCAAAAAGAAATCCGTATAAGACAAGAGGTTTCGCTCTCGTTTCAAGCAAAAATCCGATTGAATCAAGTGTATTTTTTCCTGTCAATTTTTTATAAAAGTCTAGACTCTGGATCCAATAGACTTTTTTTACAGTAGAAGTTTTTTTTCTGTACGTTTTCGTCGAAAATCAATGGGTAAAACATTATTCTTTAAACTGTCTCGCTCTAAATTTGCAGAACCTGCGGCCTCCTATAATGCTCTGAAAGTTTTTTCCTTTCTCTCATGACCAATTTTTTCCCTCAGAGAGAGAATTATAATAGCGACATTGTGTTTTTTTTTCAAGTTTCGCGCGACCAAATCCCTCCTTATTATGCGAACTACTTCAATGGGACGGTGCAAAATTAATACATTTTCAGTCGCCTCGCGTCTCTTTTATGATATTTTTCACTCATAGAGTAAAAGTAAGTATCTCCCGCAAATGGAAGTTTCAATAACCCGCATTTTACGAGAGCCCGGGAACTCTATCGCGTGCTGAAGACTACTTAACGTCGCGGAATATATTTACCGGGGGAGGGAAAAAAGCGGAAGGGGGGGGGGGGAGGGGTTGATGAAATTCAAATTGCAAGACGCACTCGCAGGTGACCTTTTTGCGGAATTAATTTCCCGCGCGCATTCCGTCATCGAGGGCGAGAGCAAATTTGCTAGGAGAGATGAAAAATCAACAGATGTCTATGCAAATTATGCGCGGATGATGACACGGAAATCGTCGCTCCTCCGACGTAAGCGCGTAACCAACACCCGCGATGGACCTTACAGCCCGTATGACTCCATACTTACGGAGACCCACGTGGGAGGGGAGTTGCGCGCTTTCGTGCCGAGGGCGACGAAATATCAACTGCGGCGCGAGCGCCTAGCAAAGTCACTTTTCTAAAGTGGTTTACGACCAACTTGGAGTGTTTTCCGAGAAGGGGGCGAGGGGGGACGGGGTTTCCATCGAAAACTATAAACGCGCCGTGCAACTAATTGAAACATCCTCTTAATTAAATAAACGGCACCGGCGACAGTTTCGTTGCCAGCCGAGTGCGGATTCCCCTCTGAACTTTCCGAGTTTTTAAGGCCAAATTTGGGGACCGCGCAGGCAGTCTATTTAGCTTACGGAGGAAAAGTTTGCGTTTGATGATGCACGCGCCGCCGTAACGAAGACGGAGCCCGGAAAAACCGGGAAAATTGCGGGAAGTTGCCTGACATTCGTAGTATGGGAAGTTGTTGGCGGTGGTAAGCCATGGGTGCATTCTACGGAGGAAGGAAGGCTTAGCGTATGTTCTCTTAAGTCGCGTAACAACCCTAAAGTTGTGAGAGATTGTAGTCGTACGTCGTATCGAGAAAATTCTGCCTGGGTTTGATTTGTCACTTTGAATTACTCCTCAAGGAGTCAGCCCGTGATCGGTTGACGTGAACGTCTTGGCTAGCGCTGAGAATGACCGGCAAATTTTAGGGAATTATTCACTTACAAAATATCAAAATCATTTCAACCCTTATTTCGATTATTAAATGAAAAACCATCGTACTATTCTATGATGACATTTTTCGTGACTTTCATTCAAAGTCGAACGCAGGTTCATCCAGAAATTGACTTGAAATTCAAGTATAGTTTTTAAACTCAAGGGAAAAGTGAGAGATTCCATGGCGGTACACTGATTCGTTTTTTTTTTTTTTTTTTTTTTTTTTTTTTTTTGGTAAAAATATGAAACATGAGAGGAAATCAGGCAACTTTGGATGTAATTAAGCTGCATAAAACATTCCTTTTCACTTATTTCATCTGCCATTCCAGGAATGGAAAACTGCTAGAGGATATAACATTTGTTCTTGCCATTTTCCTGTAGAATTCCTACTAAGAGACTTATTCTACGAAATGTAATAATGAATGCTTTTGTACTAATAGATTATTTTAGCCTCTAACATTTTGACTACCGTCGTATTATGTGGTTCCGCTCTATTCAGAGAATGACATAAACATTAACAGTTTTAGATTGCAGAAAACATTGTCTCTTACGTATTGCAGTTAATATTATACATATCTCGGATTTTATAGTGCAAGTCAGTCAAGTGATAATTAGTAATTAGTTAAGTTGTGCTTAAAAAAAATAATTTAACAATGAACCCATATATTATCACCAAGCGTCGATCACAAAAAAGATTCCCATTTACGCGGAATCAAGATTTTTTCCTTAGTCAATTGTTTTAAGCCCTGAAGGATCTCTGAAAATCTCCAAGCTCAATTTTCAAATCCTCAAAATAACCAATTGAATGAAATTCTCTTTTCCACGCCTCGGATGCAGCTTATGCATTTTAGAAGCGCACTTCGCAAGATCGTAACCGAACAGGCGAGCTAAGTATCTAAGCAAACTCCCACCATTCCACGGGGATGTTGCCCTTTTTTAAGAAAACTAATAGAAAATTCTGCTAAATATAAACTATCTCCAATAGAAGCGGCAACGATGCCCAAAAGTCCGTGTTTACAGGAGCTAAGCCGGAAAGTCAGCCGAGTCTCAAACCAAACAGAAGAAAGTAAATACGTGCATGATACGTGACGCAGCTGTAACCAGCACACTTAACGGCCCGGTTAACTCGGAATTCATTTGTTGGAGGCGAGAAAGGAGCCCAAAAATGGTTTGGGGGGTGGAAGGGGGATGGCGGGGGTGGGGGTAGCGCGCTCTGTGCCAAGTTAAATGTGCAGTGTGAACGCACCGCAGATTCGCCGCAGTCGACGGTGGTGGCGGGCGCGGCGCCGTACACTGGATCGAAACTCCAAAATCTTGAAAAAAATTGAATCGAAAATTGAATTTTCATAATTTCTTCTGAGGAAATACTATACAAAAAAAAATGAAGTAGAATAAAACGAAAATAAAACCAGTTTGTAACCTCTGCGTCTCGTATCAACGGAGATATAAGCTTTCAATGTTTCCGCTGTTTGTCCGACTTCAGCCTTTAACTCTTTCCACCGTGCGGCTCGGCGCCGCTGAAACGAAAACCGCACATCTTTCAGCCCATTGCATTCGGCGATTAATGTGCACCCGGCTTTGAGAGAGGAGGAGGGTAGGGGCCCGTTTACTTCCGTCGCTATCGACAAGTATTTAACGGCTCAAACCTCCTCTGTGTAACTCGCATCACGTAGCAAGATCGGGGATTCCGAGCCGAAAAGTTACGTTTTGAAACGGACCGTCCGACCGGCTGAAACCAGCCTTTGAATACACGTTTACTATCACTGGATTTCATGCACACGTACCTTTAAGCAGCGGATCGTAACTACGTTGTACCTACCTCATGTCAGCATTTTCGAAGTTTTGCATCTCACGTCCGGGAATGAATGTGAATATCACACCAAATTTTTACGCAAACTCAAGTTTTTTCAGAGTTACACTGACTGCTTGCAGGAGCATGTTCCGTGCATCAAAATAAAACTTCTCTCAGGTTTAAAGTTTAAACCTGAAATGCGATTTTTAAATCCATGGTCCCTCATTTTTTCTTAGACACCCAGCATTTTTTCTAACTTTTGGTGAAAACAAGGATCCAAAACTCTCGGGAAATGGCTGCCTCCATAATTTTTAGCGCTGAAACCATTCATGACCTTCAACATAACCGAGATTTTAATATAAAGAAGGATTTCATGAAGTTCTAGGCCTAATTCGAGCTTTTAATATTTTCAATGATCATCATCATCCGAAGGCCTTCGACAAAAGAGAGCTTGCAACTGAAGTTAAACTTTCACGGATTTCCGCTCAAGATTACATTTGTATCTAATTTCCGGAAATGTCTACTTAGAAATCCCAACTATGTTACGGTCAATACATTCGAAGCAGTATCATAACATAAATATTAGCTTTC